TGATACCTTTTGTTAGTCAAGTTAACAGAGAAGGGGTTTTTTGTCTCACGATCATAGTAGAGGAGGTCTTTGTCACAGACCCTATAGTACAAGGGGGTTTGGGTTGGACCTGTTCGAATCAAAATCAATTTAGAGGGTCCAATAAGATTTATTGAATTGGATCAGTCCAGATTTAATGGTCCAAAATATTTTATTAGATTGGATTGGGTTTGATCCATCTTTAATAGATTTGTGTTGAATTAAGTTGGATTGAACCAATATCTAGTCTATTAACAAAAGAGGTATCAATGGATTGGGTTTGGATTGGAAGTTGGAACCAATTTGAAAAGGTTAGGCAGTCCAATATACATATTGAATTGGACCAGTCCGAACTTAATGATCTAAAGTATATATAGGATTGGATTGCACCAGGTGCATTTGAATTGAATTCTTATGGACTGGGTCGGATTGGTTGAATCAAGGTTCTAAATATTGATAGAGCATATCGGCCTGTATCGTTAGGCATTTTTTTTCTTGTTTTTGTATTTTCAAAACTGGTAAAGGGGGTAAGGCCTGTTACCCCCTAAATCAGGTCAGACCCCAAAACACCTACTATAAAGGCATATCGGGGGGTCATCGATATGATACATATAAATCTTTATGCCCGAATATATTACAAAATTTAAAACCTTGGATTAGATCAACATCCGATCCATTAACAATCTTAATTCAGTTCCCAATACAAGGCTGTAAAGACTGTTTGAACGGACATTACACTGACCGAAGTCCAACTCTACATCATCTCTCAACGCCAGAATCTCCATTCCACCACTTCATTTGAGTGATTTTATCAAAAGATGGGTGGAGAGGAGTTGGGTTGGGCCATGGGCACTATGAGAGACAGAAAGGCCACAGTACCAAACGTTTAGCTTATCTGTCTGTACTTGTTGGGAGTTGGGAGTCGGTTTTTCAATTATATGATTGATGGTTTTTTTTTTTTTTAAAGAAATTGAGATGGATGGGAGATAGACAAGGACAACCAATTCCAACAGGATTACGACTCTTACATAATGCTTAGACTCAATGATATCATCTTACAATCAATAAAGTTTAAAGAGAAATTCTGCCTACCTTGGAAGAATGAAAGAGTACCAAAATTCGAACACCAATAGATGATGAGAGAGAGAGAAACACACAACTTAAATGTCAAATCGTGGTTACTTGGTGAACCAGTCCACCCACTTCGCGCTTGCTTCACAAATTATAATTCTTCTTTTCTTTTCAGGAGAGGTCCAATCTTTTCTTTTCTTTATTTATTTTGAACAAGGTCGAATCTTCTATGAATTCATGGGTTCTGAGTATAAGATTTAACAGTTAGTTACATCATTTGATTCGAAGTATTCATAAGGTATAGGTGTATCAGTAATTAAAGTGATGTATCTTTTATTTGTTTTAGTTTTTTTTTAATTTTAGTTTTAAATATAATTTTATATCATTTAATAAAATACCCGTAAACAAGTGTATCAGAATCAGACACCCAAAGATTCGATATGATATATGGCTGTATTCATACTTTGAACCTTGCTTCACTCTCGATTAGATAAGGGTAGAGTAAATTGATTGGTCCCATAATGTGTATGAATAAATTATGTATGGACCAGGGCTGTAGAAGAAATCTGGGATCAAACCCTACCTGCACCAGTACTAGGGTTGGGGGATGGGCTACCCCTACAGATGGCGTTTTTTTGTTTCCATAAAAGGTGGGGCCCCACCCTGCCCTGTCCCAAATGGAACTGACTTTTCTCAATATTAAACAAGGATGGAGTGAGGATGGGAAAAATATTTTTGTTCCAAATCGAGACAAGGTAAGGATGGGATTTATATATAATTTTCTGAACCGACCCCAAACCTAGTGATAAATTATTAAAATACCCCTGAATTTCACTTCAATTCATAAATCTCTAAGATCCCATAAACCCATCTCTCAAATATCCTCAATATATATACTTTTGAAGTGATTGGTTCAAGGTAGGAAAAATTTGCGAATTTCCTATCCCCACAGGAAAGGTGGAGTACCCACTCCATTGCCATTCCTAGCTGACCCCAATTTGTGATGGATTTGAAGCAATGTTTTTAAAACCAACCCGGAGAATGAATCGGTCAGGGGTCTAGTTCCCAGTTCGAACGGTCGGCCCATTCTGACAAAAAAAATTAAAAAATTAAAAATGGTCAAAACCGTCAGAACGGTTAATCGCCTGGGTCAACGGTTTGTTGACCAAAATCAACGTTTTTTTGGGGAAAATTCGGTTATGGGGAAAAACGAAACTGGTTCCCAATTTTTCCAGTTTGACTGTCTGGTCCGGTCTGGTTTTGAAAACCATGATTTGAAGTGATTGGACCGATTCTGGTTCCAAGGCCTAGTACCTATGGATTTGTTTCAGCTCCTATCTTGATTCCTGATTATTATTAATTTAGAACCAGTTCTATATCTATACTTTGGATCCATCAGGTCGGACCCGGTTGTCCCAAAAACAAATCGGTACAGTTCTAAGTCTAAAATTACAGACCCTATCGAGTCTGATTTGATTTTGGTTCCTTTAATATTTCTTGTCGGGTCAATTCCAATTCCAGCCAGACCCAACCAATTGACAGCCCTTCAAAGACGTAGTGCACTGGTCTATGACAGATTGCAACGTCTGTTAATGTTTAATTTATCTACTAATTACGGATTCATAGAATTAAATTTTAATGAAAAACCACCTGAGTGGTCACCTCTTTTATGATACCAGTTGATTGGTTGAGCATTTCTGTATCACGTATTTTCAGTATTATGGTTGAAAATCTCTCATCAAGGACAAAGTAAGAGGAAGCTTCATTAATCTATTAATTACATGCTTATAGCATTCACCATTTTAGAAAATTAAGTTTCAACTATGTGGATGTTCGGTATCGTGATGTTGTGTTTGTTTGATAGGGCTGATTAGGGATTCAAACGGATCAAATTGGATTTAAATCTCTGATTTAAATCAAGTATATCCGAATCCCATCTGGTAATATATATCCGATCCCATCTTATTTTATAAAGGTCAATTTGAATTCGAATCCATTAAGGATGTTGGATATCTGAATTTGATCTGATTTGATATAATTTTTATACAATTTAACAAATTATTAAAAAGAAAAAAACTTAACATTCTATATAAAAAAAATACAAGCATTTTTCAATTATTTTTGCCACATATATATACGTCTTTTTATAAAAAAATAAATAATATAAAATTACAAAAATGCAATATAAACATATATACACAAACACACATATACACATACATGCATACATACATACATATATATATATAAGGGGTGAGAGAGAGAGAGAGAGAGAGAGAAAGGGGTGATCCAAATTCAATCCAATTTTAAATGGATTCTATTATTCAATCCGATTCAATCAAAAAATCTAAATGGAGATATCTGAATCCAACAAAATAGGACCATATTCGAATTTGGATCAAATCATGATTTGGTCCATTTGCACTCCTAAAGTTAATTAGGTATCAACATTTTGTAATTTTTTATTCAAATTATATAAAATTCACTTTTAGAGGAAACAAGTTTTCACATTTCCATTTCACCTATATGACACCTAGTGGTGCTTATGTGTAATAAAGCATAATAAACAATTATTACATCGCATTTCATGCCCATAATATTTTTTCCTAATTTTTTATGCATAAACACAATGGACACACAACACCATGATACCAAACACCACCTATAAGGGGCCCACTACATGAATTCTGTTTCACCATTCCATTATGTTTTGTGTCACATCATTTAAAATAAATTAGTTATTATTTATAAATGACAATTCCAAAATAATTCTTTTTTTAAGTTCATATAAAGGGTATTTTGACAAGTATGTCATTTTTACAAGTTTATTACTTTATTACCAAAAATAATGATTTATAATTCACACTTATGGCCTGTTCATTTGCTCTGAACTCTTGACACCTGAAAGTGCAATAATTACATTAAGAGGTATATTAGTATTGATGAACTTTCCTTTCCTCTGAACTTTGAATGCAGAGAGAATGTAGTTCTGAATTCTGAATTCTAAAAATTATTAAACATCCATTTTGACCCCATATATGAGAGTTTTGTTTGTCTTTTTTGGGTATCATTAGAAAACAAAAGTTGTATGATTGAACTTTAAGAAATAAAAGATAAGAGGAAATGAACAACCATTTTCCTCTTAAAGTTAAAAGATTCCTCTTAAGAAATAAAAGTTAAAAAAAAAAAATGAACAAACCCTTAACAATCATGAAATGACAACTCTTTTCAACAATTCTTGGGCATTAAATCAGATGAAGCATAGATCATGACAAACACAAGGCAGGGTAGCACAATATCACATTGCCGCCCCACAAGCACTCCACATGCACATCTCACCATGCATTGAAAACATAACACGTACTTATCATGAGATGTTCCTAATACACAGGTGGAGGTGCTGTGGGGTGCTTATGGGGCACTGATCTGATCTCGGGAACCGCAGTTATATAGATTCCAATCTGATGTCACAAAGACTCCCACCAAAACAGGCTCCAACACGTTTCCAACATTGTATGGTCACACATCTCAAACATGCGAGTCCGGATCACCTGCCAAGAAAATACATGGCAGGTCCCAGTTTTATAGTAGGCCCCAGTTTCATAGTGAGATGTGCAGTGACAGATGAAGTTGATAGGGTATTGAAACATATTTTGTTGGGAGGTGATCCCAACTCCAAACATGTATTGAATGTTTGTGAGACATGTTTGAGGCTTCCAACATAATTTATTTTATACGATTCAGATCTTCTACCCACATGAGACTACTGCTGTACATTGGGAATATCTTCCCATCAATGATAACTTGTAAAATCGGAGATATTCATCATGTTCTCAATGTACAGCTGTAACGAGGCATAGGTAGGGTTCTTGTGGGTAGGAGATCCGGACTGTGATTTATAACAGCACATCTCATCCATAACCATGTTTTGATGGGAGCAGATCCCAACTCAAACTTAGAGAGGTACAGTGGAAACTGAAAAATAAAATATTCTTGTGATTTACTTCCAGAGAAAGAAAAATTCTTGTGATAAAAGAATATCAGATGGAGAACCGCAAGCCAGCAGCAGATCCGAACCCATTAAGTTCCACTCTGGATCTGTAGCCCATCCGGCAACTCAAACTGTTCTTGCCCCATAGAACACCATTGCTGTGTATTGGGAACATCTCCCCATCAAGTTCATCTAATGCAGTATCTTCATCAGATGATGGTTGTAATTGCAACAACAAACCACATAAAATCTAAAATGGAGAGTTCAGATATCACAAAATGCAAATTCCCCTTTCTTTAGGACCCTTAGTTGCACTCTTTAAGAGATGTACCAGTCATGCAAATCTTTGGGCCACACTATGCTTGCTTTGAAATAGAAGTCATGTCTATCAGTGTTGCCATCTTAACCTGTAATTTCACTTTGCTTGTACTCTTGTTATGGACATCTTTAGCTTGAACATATTCTGAGGTGATTCCAAATTGAACTTTTATTTCCACAGCCAAAGGTTGAACATTTACTAGTCTGCAATCTGCATGGAGAGTTTATCAATTATTAATCATTTTCAGAAAGGGTCAGTTTGGAAGGAGTACAAATACAAATATGTAGAGTGCAAAACCTTGTATTTTGTATTGTACATATTTGTATTTGTACTCTTTCAAAACTGAGCCAGAAGAAAAATCTTTTGCAAAGGAGTTAAGAAGCTAAAGAAAGTGAATAAAATAGCTACTTACTTTATACCGAAAAATAAAATAAAAGTAATAATCATGAATTCAAAAAAGAAAAAAGGAAAATGGAGCTGTCACACATTAATGAAGGTTTCCCTGAGCTCCAACATTGATGTACAAAGCACCAAATCTTTGCTCTACATGAGCATTCTTCCCTTTTTCAGATGCAGTGCTTGTACAACATGCTTATCAGAAGACAGTTTCCTAAAACATGAAGCATTACTATAGGAAAAAAATGTTTGCGAAACTTCAAACCTTGTATATTTAATCAAAGAAGCTAGATAAAGGAAAATTAATTGAAGGAAAGGTTAACTCAAGTATTCTACGAAGCTAGTCTCTTTTCTTAGGCTCCGTCTAGTTGCATGTAAAATGAAGCAAATGGTTTCCACTAATGCTACTTTACGGTGGTACGTTGCACAAAACAGATTTGGAGAGTAGTAATTGTAGAAAAATGGCATTCCTTCTAATTTTCCATCAGTCATTTTCCAAACAGAGGTAGGCCTCCTGATTTCTTACAGCCATTCAGGTTTACCTTCCAAGTTCAGTGAAACACGGGGGAAATTAAGAAAATGACTTTTTTATATTGAATATCATTTTCAGTGGAATAATTCATCTCCATTTAACAAACAAATAAATGCAGCTTTAATTTCAAACAATCTTGAGAGAACCTATATTTGGATTCTTCCCGCCAAAAAGGAGCCGGGAAGTTTAGTACCTCCACCCAACCATACATGCATACATGCTAAACACACCTTTTAATTCCTCATCAAAGTCCTCAAATCTGAGTCAATATAATATACTATACTATTTTCCTACACTTGCTACACTAAGCGGACCAACATGACAGGTGTAGAGGGCATAGTGTAAAACTAAGTTACTCTCACTCTCACATGTGTGAGTCTTTTACACACATGTAATGGAACACCTGAAATCAGATTACCTGAATGATTTAGCTGTTCAGCGGGCTGTGGAACCAATGATGAGGTTCCACACCAATAATAAATTCATGAACCCCACTGTAAAATATGTGGGCCCCATGTATTTAATACTGGCGTGGAACCTTATCATTGGTTCCACAGTCAGCTGAACAGCTAAACCTTGCTTGGAACACCTGCCACTGAATGTGTAGTGTAGCAAGTCTAGGGAAGAACACCTAAACTCTCTTGGATGTTTTATATCCAATTTTTCTTTGTACCTTGTGCTCTCTTTATTGTACTTTTAATCAAAGCTCAGTTATGGATCAAATAAAAAAATAAAAACAGAGAACCATCGATGGGTTGTACTACTAATCAAAGAGGGATAAGTTCAAGTTCTCTGCAAAGTTTTTCTATTCTCCATGTGTTCTAAATTTCTTTCCCACCATCTAGCAAGCTAAATAGCAATACAAAATCACATGCAACTACCCTTCCAAGTGATATTTCAGGTTTTTCAACACCCACTCTTTCCAATTCACCTAGAAAAGAAATGAGATCGTAACAGATCCCAAGTTTCAACTTGGGTTTAGTTGAAGATACTTAGATCAAGCAGAACAATAAATGAAAAGAATAACAATAAAAATAACAATAAAAACAAAATAAACATGGACTGAGAGAATTGGAAGATAACTCCACCCATGTGAGCTTGTCTTACACCGCTTGTCCCAAGCCCAGACAAAGAAGGGTTGCACCAGGTTGGCAACCAGCACTAAAACTTTTGGCAGACTCATGATCATGGATATTTGTCTTTTGTACTCATGCTAGGGCATTCTCCAGAAATGACACGCACCTTAACCTGAGTGTAGTGTCAAATGGCANTGATCATGGATATTTGTCTTTTGTACTCATGCTAGGGCATTCTCCAGAAATGACACGCACCTTAACCTGAGTGTAGTGTCAAATGGCAAGGATATGCTAGGATGGGTGCCAACAATTTAACAATGGATATGACATTAAACTGAAGGAAATGACAAAATAGGATTCATGTAGCCAAGTGCCAACGTCATAGTTTGGAACTTGGGATAAAGCTTGGATGATGATGATGACTGAGAGAATTAAAAGATAAAATCTATAACCAACTGACCGAATGGCACTCCAGTATCCACAAATGACTTAATGAGGTAAACAGCAATCCAGTATCCACAAATTCGATCCACCATATGACAAGATAATACCAACAAAAAAATTGCAAGATAATAAGAAAAATGTATATAAAAAGTTGACTACAACTGGGTTGGAAAAAAAAACGTGGCAATATTGACTTACTAAGTCTGAAACAGCAACAGGCAAGATAGATAAAGTAGATGCCCCTGAACCTATTCACTGATGAGAGATCCATAACATATAACAATTCCAAACATTTAAAATTGGCACAATATATTAAAATTTTAAATTGAACTCTATGTCAAAGCATTAAGCAGAAACTTTCCTTTATCAGTAAAGCATTATGCAATTTTAAAAGCAAAAGCATAGGTTTGATCAACTAGGCATGTACCTATGCTACAGTAGCCATCTTGAATGCCAATATGGGTTCCAGCAGTGGCTTCAATTTTTCATAACAGTTCAGCATTCATGATCGATATCATCCCTTCCCAAGCAGGTAGAGTAGAAGAAATTCCCTACAATAGAAATGTCCACAAGTATTTTTCAACTATCGAGTGGATAATATAGGCATGATAAATGTCAATAAATACATAAGATAAGACCTCAACCAATAACTCCTGAATCATCTGCCATATCAACACTACAGAGAAGGCAACCCCTCCTGAAAATGGAAAGCAGAAGAAGATCAGTGTGCAGAAAAGAGATTTGCATAATATACCTTAAGGCTGTCAGGTCACACCAAAAAGGGGAAGAGGTCAATGTGAAAAATGAGTCAAGATGAAAGCTAATAAATAACCAGTTGCAAAACACTCTGGATTTGTACAATGGTCAAACTAAATCTTAGGACATGACTAGCAACCAAACCAGGAAAAAAGAAAGGGAAAGATATATAGAGAACTCAAAAATGACAAGACATCAACGTGCACAAAAGGTTGTACCTGAAGAGCCACTGCAAACCAAAACGTGTCCTCAACAGAAACAACATGATGAACAGACCACTTCACATACTTTGGACTTTGAAACACCCATTTAAGGACATTGCTTGAACAGGAAGAATGCCTGTGACGGCTACTCAAGATCTCCAACAACCCCACAGGTACACCACATAGATATGGGAAACAAATGATACATCAAGGAAGAAGAGAAAGCAAAGTCCATATGTGAGCTCACACAACACAGGAGAAAACAGACATCCAGAATCTAAATATATACTGCACAGGAAAATTCTACTTTCCAAAAAGACATTTAATGATTAAAAACTATTGCTGGTCAGTGAAAGTTACAAATAAAGGAAAATTTTCAAAAGACAGAAACAACCACATCTATGCATGGCCACTGGCAATCTACCACCAAGAGATGTCAAGGGAAAATCAATAAATTAATAATTAATGTCTAAATGAATGTCCATGATACATAAATTACAATTTTTTATGGTGCAGAATACACCAATTGTAACAAGTTACAGGAATTCGAAGCCCTCGAAGCAACAAACAGTTCCCACCTGGAGATATGATGGGTGGAGTAACATATATAAGAGTTAATATCTCCAGTCCACCCCCACTCTGGCTGATAGGAATTAATTCCCAAAGACTGAGGTTGCACATCACCATATATGGTAGAGAACCCTGCTTCCTTCTGTCACTTTTGGCCCAAAGTCAATAGGGCTTGTTCTGTTTGTTGTCTCTCTTAAGCTGTACCTTCAACTTCTTACCACTCAATTGGCGTCCATTCATCATAGTAATGGCAGATTGAGCTTCTGTTGGTGAATCATAACTCACGAAGCCTGCAAATAGAGGGGTATTTGAGATAGAGAACTACCAGGACTTTATTTCTCATCTGAAAGGAATAGATGGTGTGTTTACCAAAACATTTGCTAACACCAGTTGCTTTGTCAACAAACACCTTAGCACTCAAGACCCTACCAAATGGTTGAAAAGCCTTTGCAAGCTCATGATCACCAAATTCTTGAGGAATGTGATAAATGAATAAGTTAGCACCAGGAGGACCTAAGTTCAATAGATGAAACAACAGTTAATGCTGAAATACGCACCAATGTTTTCCATAAAAATAACAAGAATACCATAGAAAATCACTACCTTCAACCTGACCCCCAGAACTTGTACCGACACTTGAAGATGCTTCTGAGGTACTACTTACAATTTCAGGTTGCACAGAGCCATGTGAACCACCCAAAGGCCTGTGACTCACCATTCCACCAGGATAGGCCATAGGATACTGAAGACCTGGAACCGGAGGATATGCAGAGCCTATATAGTTGGCAGAAGGCACTATGGGAAAACTTCTAGGTGCTATACCAGGGGAAAGATCCTGTGCAACTCCACGCAATGCACTTCCTTGGTTTACTGGTGGGATCATATTAGGGAAGCCGGTTTGATTATGCAATGTTGGCAGGGGATACTGCATAAGCCCATAATTGCCAGGTACCTACAATAGAAAAGCAACAGAGAAGCAGATTTACAACTTGATTATGCTAAAAAGACAAAAGTCAAAACCAGAAAGATATTGGCAAACACATTGAAGAAATCATGTAGACAAGAACTCAGAAAACTATAGGATAGAACAGGATACTGTCATCTAAAACTTGAGAAAGAATGAAATAACTGAGCTCATGGTTATCTGCTTAGATGCTTACAGAAAGCCCAGTGCCTATAGAAAAATGTACAAGTACCCATCTCAATTATGCCACAAATTATTTTAAAAACTCATCAAAGGCATAAAAATTTATACCGGCATGTGGAAGAATAGAGCAACATTACAGTGACAAAATGTTGTTAGGTGGTGTGAAAAGATAGCCCAAATAAACTCTGATGTGTGATTATTCCCTTTAGCAGGCAATTACTCTGTGATTAAATCAGGTATCTAATTTAAACAACTTCATTGCATCAGGCCCAGGCACCTTCAAAATTTAACAAATGCTCAGCCCAGGCCTTCCCAAGTGGCAATATTATCTCTGATGCAAAACCCTTCAAGCTGTATTGATGGGAAATTGGGAACTGGACCATCAACCATTCAGAAACCTTCTAAATTCAACAATGTGGTAATAATTATGCTAATGTAGAGCTAATCATCAAAGTAACTGAAAACAGTAAGTCAAAAAATTATCATGTGCCGACAACTTAAAGTTCATTTAGGTCACACTAGTTGCAAAAGACACAAATATTATCTCTGATGCAAAACCCTTCAAGCTGTATTGATGGGAAATTGGGAACTGGACCATCAACCATTCAGAAACCTTCTAAATTCAACAATGTGGTAATAATTATGCTAATGTAGAGGTAATCATCAAAGTAACTGAAAACAGTAAGTCAAAAAATTATCATGTGCCGACAACTTAAAGTTCATTTAGGTCACACTAGTTGCAAAAGACACAAACTTAGAATAGGAAAATCTGGAAGGATCTAGAAAGTTCAATTAGCATGTTAGATTAATTTAAACATCCGATATAAGCTAACAAAAACAGACCTGATAACCATATCCATTGTATGGGGGCATGTAACCCATCGGTAAGGCCCCAAACAGTGAAGGTTGCTGTGTTGACTCAGTATTTAATGCACTAGAAGCATGGGTTTGAGCTTTTTGAGCCCTCCGTTGTTGCCTCTCCTTTTCCGTATCTGCCCATTTGACAACTAAAGGAACATTTGAACCCTACAGTAGAAATTTGTAGCCAGAGTGCAAGTTCAATTATCACTTCATCAACAATAATCTCAAGTATTAGTATATCTTTTCCTATCAGAAAGTTGGGTATCTGAACAATTGGTGAAGCATGTTATCATGTCTTAAACAACTCATTAACAAATAAACCAACTGAAATAAACAAATAGCATTTTCAAAGTAATGGAACTGCTTGAGGTATGGGCCTGCCTCAATTAGACCAACCGAGGATGTAGGAGTTACATATAGTAGAAATAAAATGGAAATAAATAAAACAGATAATGTCAAGTCAAAATTTAATTATACAGCTGAGACATCTAAAAAATCTGGTTTTCCAATGTAACCAACACACATCTACATCATTCTGCAACAATGATCTCTATGGTTCAAATTCAGTTGAGAACACAAGTTACCATTTAAAATAAAGCCACTGGATGTTTATCAGCTATGGAAAATATATAACCATACCAGTCAAGTGGAACCAAGGTTTAACCAATGTTTTAAAACACAGAGGCATTCCACTACCTAGAGACATGAGGCATAGTTGAGAATGCAAGAGGCGTAAGCTTCCTGAGCATAAGCAGGCATAATCATCCTCAAGAGGGAGGAGGAGGATATGGAAGGAAGGAAGGAAGGAAGGAAGGAGAAGAAGAAGAAGGCATTTTTCTTCTTTCTTTCCTTTCCTTTTCTTTCTTTTCTTTTTTTCTTTTGTTCTTTCTGTATGAGGCATATGCCTCAGAGGCATCAACACCTCCAACATGAGCCTCAGGGCATTTTGAGGGCCCCTCACCTTGGGCTTGGGTTTAACAAGTTGGAGAATGTCACCTCTGGTAATCAGATGTTTATTGTCTGCTGTTTAAGGGAATCAGTCCCTCTTTTCCCTCTTCTACTGCACTCTTTTTTTTTGATAATTAAAAAGGATCAATTTCATTAATAAAAACTAGTAGAGTTACAAGTTTCCTTTGGAGAGGCATGAGCTGCGTCCTCTCCTACCAGTAGGAATAAAGACAAAAAGATAGAAGACAGATTCAATCTACAATTGAACCCAATACAAACTTTCCCTATTTATCCCTTGCTTTGCAAGACCATCAGCCATAGAGTTTGCTGACCTCCCCACCCATTGTATTCTTACAGCCAAGCTTCTTATTAGGCAGTTGAACTTTTTAATTTCATTCTTAAAACACCACACAACAGATTCCGGATTTTGTAGCCAGCCCACTACTACCTTGGAGTCCCCTTCTATTATCATCTGTTCCACACCTATCTGCACGGCTAATTGTACTCCCTGGATAGCGGCAGCAAGTTCCGCCCTAGTAGAGTTTCCAACTCATATGGGTCCTGAGAAAATAAGGACCACATTCCCACTCTCATTCCTCAGTACCCCTCCCACCCCTGACGGACCAGGATTTCCAAGACTGCTCCCATTGAAATTCAGCTTCAAGAATCTTTCAGGAGGGGGTTCCCAAGCCATGCACTTTAGTTTTTTTGGATGAGAAATTAGCCACTGCTAACCAATTCCTCCACACATCATTGAATGAGAATTGATGGAATAAATCCAGTGATTTTATCCATAAGATCACCCTATTTAGAATGCAGTCTTTCATGTCTTCTAGGCTTCTCTCCTTTTTTTTTTTTTTTGATCAATAACAATTTCATTAATTCACCAAAGAGGTTACATAAGGAAGACAAACACACTTATCTTCCAAGTACAATCAAGAAAACAAAAGAATAGGTGGAGACAAAATTACAACTTAGCCCAAAACATTGACTCCCTTTCTGCCCCTTGTTTAGCTAAACCATCAGCTAGAGAATTGGCTGATCTTTTGACCCAGCACATTTTAACTTCMATCTCCCGCACCARCCACTCAAATTTCCTCCTCTGATTACTGTACCTCCATAAACCATTGCTGTTTGCATTCAGCCACCCTATCACCACCTCCGAATACCCTTCAATTAAGAGTTTTCTTATGTTCATCTCCTTGGCTTTCTGGACTCCTTCCATAACTGCAAAGATCTCAGCTCTAAGGGAGTCACCCATTCCAATTGGGCTTGAGAACAAGGCAAAAATGACCCCATTCTCATTCCTAAAGACACCCCCAATCCCTGATTGTCCAGAGTTCCCCCTACTACTCCCATCAAAATTTAATTTCATGAACCCAGTAGGTGGAGGTGTCCAAGACACACTCATTACTGACTTGGTCTGTGTGCATTTTGCTATTTCACCCCACTTCCTCAACATGTCATCCACTGTGTAACCTGTGAATAGTTCCAAAGATTTTGGCCACTGTACAGCCCTGAAATGAATGATAGCCTTTAGTTCTTCCACCCCTCTCTCAACCGCTGAGAATATCCTGAAGTTTCTTTCTTCCCATATTGTCCAACATACTACAGCCCTCAAACCTCTCCACATAGTCCTTCCCCTTTTCCTACACCACCTGAAGACAGAAGGGGTAAAAAGGCCCTGCAGATCTGATGGAGGGTTCCATCGACACCCAAAGAGGGAAAAAGCCCATTCCCAAATTAACCTCGCAAAATGGCAAGACACCAATAGGTGAAAACCAATCTCCCTATCCGCTTTACATAGAACACACCAATGGGGTGACAAGCAAGTATCGGGTCGCTTCTTTTGGAGTAGATGACCAGTGTTGAATCTTTCCAGATAGGCTTCCCAACAAAAACTACCAACCCTAGGAGGGATTGCTCTGCATCAAACCTCATCAACAAGGAAAGGGGGGGTTACAAGACTGGTGGACTGGCTTAGGACTTTGAAAAAGGAAGCACAAGAAAAGAAACCAATGGGGGTGGGGGTCCAAATTCCGGGCTTCTCTCCTTCTCTTGGAAAATTCAGGCATTCCTTTCTTCCCACACAAACCAAATCAGCGTTGCTCTTGCACACCTCCACATAATTCTTCCTCTTCTGTGCCGCCAAGGGAAGAAAGCAGGATCAAAGAACAAGCTTGCACATCTCTTCTGCACTCATTATTTATCATAATCATTATCATCACTATGATTATATATATATATATATAATAAAGAGAAAGCAGATAATGTATGGGTGTATCCCAAGGTTAAAAATATCAAAATGTATTGTACCATATCATACAATATGTATCAGCTTTTTAACCTTAGGATACACTACATACTAGGACTTCTATCAAATTTAATAGTTGGTTGAAATATGGTGGACATATGTTACAAACTGAAAGTTGATAAAACTGTGAACATCTATGATTTTAGTCACTCAATATTTTTTTGATCAATAACAAGAAACTTTATTAAAGATATGAAACTATGTGAAGCTTAGGTACAAAGGGGAGGTAAAAGGACTTAACTCCCCATCAAAGAGTACAAGGAAAAAATAAAAAATTAGCCCAAAAAATCGAATCCCTATTCATCCCTTGCTTTGCTAACCCATCAGCAAAGGAATTAGCAGTCCTCTTCACCCAGTTGTAATGAACCACCATATCCCTACTCAGCCATTTAAATTTATTCTTCTCATTGTTATAACTCCATAAGCCGTTGTCTCCCCCTTTTAGCCACCTAATCACCACCTCCGAGTCACCTTCAAGGACCAAACATCTGATGTTCAGCTCCCTTGCTCTTTGGATGCCTTCCAGGGCTGCGAGGATCTCAGCCCTAAGAGAGTCTCCTTCCCCAATTGGGCCTAAAAACATAGCAATAATAGCCACCACCTCATTCCTGAGTACTCCCTCAATCCCAGGCCCTGGGTTCCTTAAACAGCTGCCATCAAAATTCAATTTTATGAACCCAGAAGGAGGAGGGGACCACAAAGGACTACAGCTCCTCTTACAGAGGGCAGAGGAAGCTATCTCCTTCCAATTTCTCACCAAATCAGCCACAAAATAATCTGAGAACAGTTCCATAGTTTTCAACCAATGTGCCACCCTTAACAGAATTAGATCTAATAAGTTTCCAATGGTTCTTTCCTTATCTGAAAATATTCGTGAGTTTCTTTCTTTCCATAGAGTCCAACACACTGCAGCCCTGATGCTTCTCCACATAGTCTTCCCTCTCTTCTTCGGCCATCTGAAAAAGGAGGGAGAGAAGAAGCTTTGGACACTCCCAGGGGGTATCCAAACACACCCAAAATGGGAGAGAACAAGCTTAGTCACTCAATATTTAATGTTTCAGTATTGAGCATATCAATACTTTGAACTTTGGTGTATACAAAAGGGAGAAGGAAAAAGTAGGGGCCGATACGAGCCGAGAGAATATTAGACTATTTGAACTTGGCTCAACAAAAAAACATAAGGCTCAAGTTTGGGCTCAAGCTCAATTCCAGCTAGAATACTAGCTCAGATTAAGCTCGACTCAAAAGCTCATAGGCTCGAGCTTGACAATGAGCCAAGCCTACTAGAGCTTGAACTCAATACTTGCCCTACTTGTTTAACATTTAAAAACTACAAAAAACACATCAAAATTGCCTACTCTCATCAAGCTAAGAAGAATAACTTGCTTATTTAACATATAAAAAACCACAAACACTAAAATATTTATCGTTTTATTTTGTTTCTTATTACACAAATAAAAAATCAATATATATATATAAGCTCAATTAGGCTCACAAACGTCACGAGCTGAGATTCACACTATTTGAGCTTGGATCAATTAGCAGTCAAGCCTATATATTGGGCTCGAGCTTGGCTTGAAGCTCAATTTGGACTGAGCTGAATCAAGCTTTTTGCAAGCCAAGCTCGTATGGCTCATGAATAGCTTGCTTCAAATCCACCCTAGGAAATAAAATAAATATCAATTCATATTTAAAAGCCAATAGCCAATGTTGATCTCAGCTATATGGGGTCTTGAGAGGGGTAGACTAGGTACACCGGTACAGTCCTAACCTTTGGCTTTTTTTCATGTAAAGTGGCCACCCTTAGACTCAAACATGCATTCTCACACTTACCAGCCCCAAGATTTTGCCATTACACCAAATAATGGTAATAATAGAAGCATAGACATGATTTTAAAGTATTTTATTATTATAAATTACTATATCGGCAAATTCTTTGGCTGAATGTCTAGCTAAGCCAAGGGCAGCTAGGGACTTTTGTATTGGGCACAACTGTAGCTTCATTTTGTTTTCTTCTTTGTTAGGATAGGCCGCAGCCTGTGCCTCACCAAGGGTTGTTTGTACTAGCTCATCCTTTTGTTCTAATAAAAGAAGTCACTTATCAAAAAAAAGGACAAAAGCAGTCATTGTTGGCATTTTGAATCATGCATATTGTTTTATTTTATTTGATATTTTATTTAAACTCTTATGGTCATGGATCCTACAATGCCAGTCCCAAGCCCAGATAAAGGTGGAGGGTGCATCAGGTTGACAATCATCATTTAAAACTTTTGCCAAACTCTTATGGTCATGGATCCTAATGATGATGGTTACAGCTAAATTTGAATTATGGTCTTATGCAGTTATGCTGTTGTATTTATTTTTTCATTCAGAAAAAAAAACACTAAGATGTCTGGAGTTGGGAGATTAAATCATGGTTAATTAAATTATGCAGATTATAAGAATGTCTCCAAAAAGGGGGAAATCACAAAGTTGTCATTTGTGACTACACAGTACAATACTTGAAATGATGAGCATTAAAAACAAAAATAAAGAGAAAGTGTTATGTTTGACCATTGAAATGTTATCGTTTAGATGATATGCTTGTGTATATGTGTACATGCAGATTGAAAAAATACCATTGGTATGATTAAGAAAATGAAGCTATTTTGAACAGGAACTAAAATGTAAGTTTGATTGAAACATATCAAGACAATGGAAATGTATCAAAAAAATATTGCAGTTGATTAAACCACTGGTGGAAAGTTATGGCTTAAAGATATTATATATGCTATGATAAGCTACAACTTCAAGCAAATTCAATTTAAAATTTTGCCTAAATATGCCATACCTAAATACATCCTGAAACATACAAGAAAATATCACAATCCTATACTGGAATTGTTCACTTTCCAGTTTTATAGCACTATGGCCTCGTTCGTTTGCATCGTTGTAACTTACCCGGGTAAGTGTACTTACCCATGTTCTTTTGGTTACCAGGATTCCCAGGTAAGTAACAGAATGACATTTTTACCCATAAAAAGCTAGTATAAAAATGGGCAAAGTTGCCCCATTATGCTTTATAAAATTCCCCCCCAGGTGGGAAAGTTACTTACCCACCTGTGAGATGGGTCAGTTTTACCCGGGAAATTGGAGCTTATTTTACCATGGGGCCCATTTGTAAATGCAAAAAGAACATTGTAAAGTTGGTCAATGGGAAAAAGATACCCATTGACCAACTTTCCCAAGCTTATTTATCAGTAAACAAACAGGGCCTAAGGCTTTAAAAGTTGGGAATAATCATACAACATTGTAGTTCAGTAAAAAAAATTGATTTTGGATATATCAACCTATCCAAAAACAAGAAATACTTGACAAGACTGATCATAAAATTATCGAATTGTGTTTGCAGTCTATCAAATTATTGACTACAAAAAAGAACTTCAATATCCAAAAACAAGAAATGCTTATCAAGACTGATCATAAAATTATTGAATTATGTTTTGCAGTCTATCAAATTATCAACTACAAAAAAAGAACTTGAAGTAAGTCAGGAAGAGCCGCCAGGAACCAATTTAAAGCTTTCCAAAGATTACCAATAGAGAAAAAAGAAATGAAACTTTCTGAATTTTTTTCTCCAAGATAGTGAATTGTTTGGCAACAGGGCTTGATAATACAAACCTCCATCTTATGCTTCCCATTAATTGCTTCTAAAGCTGCAATAGCTTGTTCCTTAGTCTCATACTTCAGAAAAGCACAGCCTGTCCCACAAAAGGAAATAAAAAGAACCACTCATAAATTAAAAATAATCTATGACCATTTAAACAAGAAAATAGGACTCATGATTCTAATCTGACAGCCCAAGAACAAGAGCTGCAAGGGTGTTTTTTATTGGTAACAAGAATTTATTAATTTATAAAGAAAACAATATTAATATAACATGAGTCAAGCAACCCCTCTTAGACATTTAGGCTAGAAACCACTACATAAACTCTTTTTTTTTATAAATTACATAAACCCTTTTAAAGCACTTAATGCAAGGGTTTATACAACCATCAAATAATAAGATAAAGATCAAAAGAAAAGGGGAAGAAATGAAAGGCCAAAGTTACCTTTGCTTGTCTGTTGAGAACCTCTCAGAATTTGAAGATCTTTTATAGTCCCATATTTGGAAAATAAAGCGGAAACTTCATCTTCAGAGATATTCTTTGGTAGCATACCAACAAAAAGCTTATGCTCTGGAGATCAATTCATTTATGAAAGAACAATTATCTCAAATGAAAACATCAGCAGACAGTAGAAAGTGGGGTTGGCATCACTATAATTTACAGTAGATATTTAGAGGCCAAGAATTACAGAAACGGTGCACAAATATCAAACCTAGCCTTTCTAATTCGCCATCTGCATACTTCACTTGTAATGGACTGGATGCCTGAATAAAAAAGAGAGGGTGCAGAATGCATTTAGTTAGAGCAAAGAATGACACCTTTTGCATTATGTAAAATAGTAATAACTTGTCATTACTATAGTTGCTACTAGTCAAAAAAATATATATATATAACATAAGCAACACAAAGTATTTTATCCGGGCTATAGCAAAAGATATGAGAATTAAAAGAACTGCAGCAAATATGACAACAAAAGATGTACAAAATAATAAATTTAAAAGACATCTTGCAGTAGAATTGGCCCTAGATGGTGCAAGGATCAAAAATATTGATATGATATGCCCTGCACTGGGCGTATCGTATCTGCATCCAAAGTCACTGAGACAATATAAAGGGTTTTGGGGTTTTGAATATTTGGGATGATAGAAGACATCCTAGTCAGCAAATATGACAATTATCAGGTCGATTAAATAAGAAAATTAGGTGTCTTTGTCAATCAATACACACAATACCCAATTTTTGGGTGTCATGTGTATTAATATTTTGATCATTGGTTTAGTGGACTCCAAGTAGTCACAATGTGGCTTACTTTAGTTCAGTATATATCAGGAAAAAGAAAAAGATGATAGTAGCTTTTTTTGCTGGTAACTTTGAAATTTTTTATTAAATTAGTAAAAGAATACCATGTACAATAAGCCATACAACCCATTGTATAGGCTGAGATCACCTATCCCTTAATTGTCTGTATTACATGATTGACCAGAACAAATTTTCCCTATTAACAACTTAACAAGCTAAAGTGCCAGCTAAACCTTTTTCTGATCTGCTCACCCGCTAGCTTTATCCACCAAATGTGATGATTAATCAAATATGACCATCCTTTTGTTGAAACAAAGTCATACTTCATTCTAAAGCACATTCGCCTGGTTCCTCCGTACACTTAGTCCAATAACTTTTTTTTGGTTTACTACTGCCATATTATGATAATGCATGAGAACAGACTTAGATGGTTCTTTATTTGATCGTTTGGTTATCTCTGCTTCAATAATTGATTAATTCGTGATCATGTCTTGGGATTTCTCCTCATCAAATTACTAATGTAGGAACTGAAACTTAGCAGGAAATCATGATATGATAATACATGAGAACAGACTTAGATGGTTCTTTTTTTGATCATTTGGTTATCTATGCTTCAATAATTGATTAATTTGTGATCATGTCTTAGGAATTCTCCTCATCAAATTACTAATGTAGGAACAGAAACTTAGCAGGAAATCATGGCATGAGAAATTGGAGTTTGGGCGGAATCTGGAAATGAGGGCCACAGACCGACAGCAATACATGTGGAGTTTAGCAGGTCCCAGAAATTTGATTGAATTGGAGATATTCAAAATTTCTCAAAAAAACTCACTCGTTTTCCCTGTCCAAACTTTCCTGTGAATATATACCAAACCAGTTAATGCATTTGTGACCCAAAACACCTTAAGAAGCAAATTTACATTTCCTTTGGTATTTTCCTATGGAAGCTCTAGTACCCATCAAGAAACCCCTATATCCAGCACCCTTCTTGCTTTTCAATCTTTTCTTCTAAGATCTCAACTCAAGTCAGATTTAATCCCAACTATTTGGAGTCAATTACACAAATCCTGTCCCACCCTTGTGCTCTATCAAGAGCAATGTTTTCTGTCAAACTACAAGTCTTTAAATCATTTTTTACCACTTCAGACCATGTTTTCTTTGATCTTCCCTTTGCTCTTTTAGAACCTTTTTTTATCAGAAACGATAACTTTCATTAGAGATAAATTAAACTGAAATACAGAAAGTCAACCCTTAATAGAAAAGGTTGATCCAATAAACATCAAATATTACAGCACTGCCCAATAAAGACTCTCCCTTACAGTCCCTTGTTTTGCTAGGGCGTCACCAAAACCATTTGCTGATCTCCTTACCCACTTGAACCAAACACCCACCTCCCTTGTTATGCTAAGAATTTTCCTTATCAGCTGTCTAAATTGCCAAATTCCCAGCTTCCCTGATTGCATCCACCCAATTACCAACTTGGAGTCTCCCTCTATCTCAATCTGATGTAGCCCCAATTGTTTGGCCAGTTTTACACCTTGATGTAGTACCAAGATTTTCGCTCTTAAGGAATCTCCAACTCCTATTGGACCAGAAAGCAGAGCCATTATCTTGCCTTCATTATCTCTGAAAACACCTCCTATACCAGATGGGCTTGGATTACCTATAGAGCTTCCATCAAAGTTCAGTTTCACCCTTTGTTGTGTTGGTGGGGACCAAACTTCCTATATCATAGCTTTGGAAGTAGTAGTAGATGCCACAATACCCCAAC